TCAAATAATGTTGTTAGTCTTTTCTTCCTGCGGGGAAGCATCCCAGCCAGAAACTACAATAGTTTACTATCAATTCAATGGAAATTAAATGTAACAATTTATTGTGTAACCAAAATACCAATAATGGCCAGAAAAAGAAAAAAAAAAGTGTGACTTTTAATTATAAACAAGCCCGAAATACACCGGGACTCTTATTTTGAAATATCTATACTATTGCAGGCTGATCCTTCAAATGAGAGATAAAATATGCATACTTACAACCGTCTAAAACCTATTATATAAAGATCATAAAGTAGACATTATCATAATTCATCAACTTGAGTTCATAAGCAATCGCTTGGCATAAATGTGCGCTATTCATTGACTGAGAATCACTTTGAAGCAGTCTGAACTCTGAAGCGCCGCCTTGTGACACTGCAGCACTCTTTTTTTAATGAAATCATTGCCTTTTGAAGTTTAATATCGCGATTTACGTTTTTCCATCCCCAAAATATAAGACGTCTTAAAATTATAATTTAGACGTTTGTTTTACCATCATGCATTGAAGACTTTTTATGACATTAAATTTAAGAAAACTTTTGCTTTATTCGCACACGTGCTCCTAAATACATTTTACAGTCCGCACACTTCTGTTTTTAGTCGCAAATCATGCAACCCTAGATTACAGTGAGTTTCTGACAATCTTTTTTCACTCTTTATCTACATGTGGGAGTGTAAGGAAAACGAATTTACAAAAGGAACAAACCATGGGTTGAAGAACACTGTAAAGGTCAAAAGCTAGAGGACACGCTGACCTGGAAGATCTCTTTCAGGTCCTGTACCGTGACCTCCAGCTTGATGACGGGAATCTTCCCAGCTGCCATCTGCTTACACCTCTGCTCCACGTCCAACAGAGAGAGAGCGCTACGACACACACAGCACTGCAGCTCAGCTAGATGTCACTTCTTAGTTTAATGCATCTCAAATAAACAGCAGGTAAAGTACAGTCGACTACTGGCTCACATCAGGGGCTGGAAAGGGAACAGACGGTGTTTACTTGTTTTGGAGCTGGTAATCACAGTACAGGCCCGTGTCAGAGACTCCCTCTCGACACACGCGAGCGCTGAAGAGATTCTCCATCACACTCGCTAACACACACGCTCCGGTGCGCCACACCACCTACAGCACAGACACACTCACTGTCAATCACAGCAAAACATGCCCAGAATCTATCAAATAAAGCTTATTAAATGAAATAAAAAATAACAACATCATACTATTCAACATCAGCATCAAATATTAAAAAAATATTATTATTTGATATTTATGTTTTTAGGGTGAAATATTACTCAGACATGTTATTGAGAGTTAACTCTTTGAGACTCAAAAGCTGGCACCTGTCTCCCCTCCAGCGAGTCAAAACCCAGCAGCTGCAGTTCACAGTCCTCCACAAGAGGACGACTTAGATCCCACAGAGCTCCATTCACTCTGCTCGCCACTGCACCTTTAACACTGCAAACACACACAGATACACACATTATGGCAGAACTAACAATTAGTAACAACAGTCTAAAGCAGCACTTAAAATAAAAAATATGAAAATTAAAATTAAAATTAAATATTGGTGTAGAATTTACTTAATTATCTGTGAAATTTGCTAGAAATTTCTGATGAAAACAGCAAAAAAAAAAATTTATATATATAGGAGTAGGATTTACTTAACTGTAAAATTTTACAATTTCTTTGTGAAAACAGCAAAAAACAAATAAATAAATAAATACAAATATTGGTGTAGGACTTAATTATTTGTGAAATTTACTAGCAATTTCTGAGTGAACACAGCAAAAAAAATAAAAATAAATATAATAAATAAATACAAATATTGGTGTAGGATTTACTAAATTATTTGTCAAATATACTAGCAATGAGTGAAAACTGAGTGAAAACAGGATACAATTGTTATTGTTAAAAGCGCTATATAAATAAAGGTGACTTGACTTGACTTAAAAAACAAACAAACAAACAAAAAGATACTCACTTTATGGCAGAACTAATAATTAGTAACAACAGCCCAAAACAGCACTTAAAATAAAAAAATGAAAATAAAAATAAAATATTGATTGAGGACTTAATTATCTGTGAAATTTACTAGCAATTTCTGAGTGAAATCAGCAAAAAATAAATAAATGAATATAATAAATAAATACAAATATCGGTGTAGGATTTACTAAATTATCTGTGAAATATACTAGCAATGAGTGAAAACTGACTGAAAACAGGATAAAAACAAACAAACAAACAAAAAAGGAG